CAAGTAATTTTTTCAACTGTATTACCGTTTCTGACTAAAGCAGACTAATATATACAGAATTATATTTACAATCAAAAGTTTAGTTATATAGTGAAAAATAGTAAAATGCAGAAAGATTTTTTTTGTGACAACCACAAATTGTAGCAAATAAATTGTTCATTTAATTTTTGGATAATTATGTCTGTTAGTCAGTTAGTTAACTGATTAGTTGAGCTCAACTAACCGGAATAAATACTTAACAAAATACAGTCTGTATTTTTTGATGCTTACCCATCAATAAATTAAACAGATATTGCAAACTGCAGCATTAGCCTATACTTTTTCAGTGAAGGCAGTTGTGTCACTAAATTTAAAAGTTTCAGTCTTGTTCACATAGAGTTAACTAAACAGCTGACCAGTTGTGTTTGTGTCGGTTTAGTGCGAGCAAAAGAAACTTGAAGAAAGTTAAGAATATCAAATTGGATTGACGTTGACTGAGAAGCAAAACAAAAAAAAAATTTTCTTTCTGGTAAGAACAGTATAATGAAGCATTTTTCAAGTTTTTTAATCAAATTTTAAGCACTTTTAGTGTAAATTTGATATTTGGCTTTTGCTTTCACAGAAAAACAATAATTTCCATTTACACATTCAAATCTCTTTTTTCCTCTTCTCATTTCTCCCAATGCCTGCCATTTTTTCGCTGCTGTCATTTGCAGTATCCCATAATCGCCGATAAGGTAATAAAGCTGATAGTGATTACCAATATCAAAACTTATAAAATATTAGCTTATCACTTCTAACTTCACCTGTTTTTTTTGCAGTACTTCTACACATTACGCTTCAATAATTGTACCCAAACACTCACCAAAGCCATCCAACTTTTTTGGCTGTAAACCTTAAAGTGCAAAACAAAAAAAAAAAAAAAATGATTTCAAAGAAACTTGTTGACTGAAAAGCAAATTTTTTCTTTTCATATACATTGTCAAAAAAACGTATAAATGTAGAAATAACTAATTTTCCTCAGTTGTTATTTGGCGCAAAAATAATTGGGGTGGCAACACAACTATCATTTTCCTCAATAAATAGAAAAAAAAAAAAGAAACGAAAAAAAAAAGTGAAAAAAAAACAGGTGAAAAAAAACGGAAAAGAAATTGCACCATATAGAATGTTTTCTAAGAGCAAAAAAGACGCTTTTTTTTTGCTGAATTATTAAAAACAAAAAACTAAAAAAGACAAAACTGAAAAAGAAAAAACAAAACAAATAAATCATAATTATTTGTGCAACTTTTGAAACTAAATTTTTGCCTTTTCAAAATTCTCTTTTCTCCCCACCTGTTCCCCCCTTCTCCTTTCTCCTTTTTATTATTCTTTTTTTACCCATACCTTCCAAATTTTTTTCTTTTTTCAAAATTGCTGCTATACAGTTAAAACTGCAAAAGCTGTCTACGTTCTGTCTAAGCTATATTTACATCATATATATTTAAAACTTATTTGTACAGATATTTGCTATTCATATTTATTGGGTCTATACGTACAGTAACCAGCTGAAACGAGACTAAAACACCAAAGGTAACAAGAGTCACCTGACATAGCCTAGACGTTGTAGAGCAGAATTTAAACTTGAACTTGTTGTTCTCTCTTTTTGCTGTTTACAGAAATTTGAGAAACTGTCAAAAAGAAAAAAAAAAAA